GGTTTAAAAATCCCTAGAAACTAAAACAAAACAAATCAAAGCAAAAATCAGGAAAATAACCTTACAAAAATGCTTCTAAACAGCATGTAGGTTAAAAAGGATATCATAAAAGAAATTACAAAATACTTGGAACGGAATTATAAACTATAATGAAAGTACATATCAAATTTGGTAGGATACAGTGAAAGTAGTATTTAGAGGATAATTTTTAGCTTTCAATACATTCATTTTTTTAAATGAACATTATATTCGGTGGAATAAAAGCAATTAGGAGAATGAGATGTAAAGCCCATAAGTGGGTGTTTCAGAGCACAAAACCCCAGCTATTCAGAGCTTTTCAAAAAGCAGCAGCTTTGCAATCTATTGGAATCCTACCCCACCCCCATGGATTGGATGTATCATCCTTGGCCAAGTCAATTAATTTCTCTAAGCCTCAATTTTTTTACCTGTAAAATAGGGATAACAGTACCTTCCTCTCCGAGCTGGTTTGAAAATGAAACGAGAATCCACAAAAAGCACTTAGTACAGAATAGTAAGCAGTCAATAAATGGTTCCTGTTTCCAGATGACTATCATCTCTTCCAACTCCCAGATTCCATGATTCTAACTTTGGTATAATGAAATTTAAGACAAGCATGAATTCCAGCCACAAAAATCTAATCAGTAAATTAAACCTTCATTTTTATTTCACAATACTAAAGTAGTTGTGTTTAAAACATATTCTTACTCCCATTAGGAAAGATATTAACATAATATCTTCTTCCTATCATTATTACAGAAACAAAACAATGATCGACAAAAGCTAGTCTATTGCTAGTCATAATATTAAATCCCAAACTGACTTTCATTTCAGAACGAAAATGGAAAGCAGAGAAATGTAAAAAAAAAAAGTGCTAAAAATAAAACCATAAAAAACTGATTCGTTTTATGTGCAAGGTATTCTATATATTTTTCAATGTACCTTTCAGTAAAGGTATGGAGTTGAAAATGGCTATTATTGGTACTTCAACAGGTCTGCAATTTCTTTTAAATCAAGTAGCATATAATAAATTGATGAATAACAGGTTCTTCACTTATTCATTATTATTCTCCTCCAAAGATGGTTACAGGTGTTTACTTTTCTAATTCTATTTTTCATTTTGCTGAAGAATAAGAACCTTCTCTAACCGTCAACATCCTGCTATTAAAAAAAAACCTCTAAAAACATTCTTTCTCATGTCTTCCCAGATATAGCTGTCCAATATCCATTTACTCCCTTTTCTTTAATTAGAATGTAATAACACATAATAAATAATACACTATTATGGATTTTAGGTTTCTCCTCTTATAAAATAATTTTATTTTTTCTTTTTCTTCCAGAAGGAGTCACTATACCCTGTTTATAGAACAATCACTTTCCCCAACCCAGCTTTAAAAACTATATGTACATAGGGGTTCTTCATTACACTAATGAAATAAGTATACAGATACATTAAAATCCACTGTATATTTTGGACAATGAAAGCAATTAGATCTTGAGCTTCATAGTTGGCTGGTTTTTGTATAATTATTGTATTCAGTGTTTCATACTACATTTTTTTCCTTCAATATCGTAGAAACCATGCCTCCCTAGGTTTAGAAATCTAAATGTTACTACTCGTTGGCAAGCTTTCATTCCCAATGGTGGGCTATGCTCTTGTTTGCAGGTGTCTCTCTGTAGAGGCCAGCCTGCTGTTATCAGATTGAGGGCATTTACAAAGGAAAAGGAGAAGGAACTGTGATTAGTAGCAACATGCTCTCCTTTTTATGCATGGTTTAGCCTGTAACCTTGGTTTTCGTTTTTTGCTCTGCACCTGGCCATGTTTCTATATTCTTCTGGATCTCTTTGTAGTTTTCACAAAAGCATGACCCAAACACGACGTGCACCATGGTTATTGCTTCTCATCACTGCAGTTATGGGTGGATGGGTCAGACTACATGTCCTTTTATAATTGTACATTTAGGGTATTGCTCTGGCTGTAGGTGGAAGGCAACAAAGCTGAAATATTTTTACAGTGACCTCTCATTTTCTACTAAAGATAAAATTCCAAAAGTCTAAAATAATGTCACGACAAAGAAAATTAAAGAATATCTTTTCTTCCTAAAGAATTGCCTTAGCTATGCCACCAGCAAATGAAGACAATGCCTTTATATTTGTTTGTTTGCCTACTTATTAACAGTGTTTTCCCAGCGAGGTGGTACGCTCTATGAGGGCAGGTATGTGTCTGATTTTTTACTGCATATTTCATGTACAGCTTAGGTTAATGCCTTCCTGTTACCTTGTAATCTCTAAATAAGTATTTGTTAAAATAATGAATAAGTAGCATATCCAGTGTTACTCTTCTCTATAATGGTGAAATCTAGTTAAACAGGATATAAAGTGTACTTAAAAATTTTAACACCTTTCTAACCTTCTCTTTAATTTCACAGGAAAGGTATATATCTTTATTTTTCAGGGGAAGGAAACAAACATTTACCATGCCCAGTATGCACCAAGCACTCAGGCACCATGCTAGATTCAGTGCTTTGCAGAAACTCATATTTAAACATTAACTCATCCTCCTACAATGAAAATTTGAACACATAAACAAGTCTATTCCTACCTCTACCACTGACTGTGTCACTTTGGGAATTCTTTTAACTTTTAGGCACAGAACTAAAATTAAAATCTATTGAGTAAGAATTAATACTACTAATATAGTTAACTCCTCTTTTATAGGGAACCATTATGGAACAAAGTTTCCACTTTGGAATTTTCTGGAATTGTCCTCCTTCAACTCTAATTTTTTTTTTATTTCAACTATTTTTAATGAAAATATTTTTAAATATACTATGCTTAACCAGATGTCTGGAATATCAATCCATCTTTCTGGATAACTCAGATAAAGATAGTGGTAAGGATACCAGAGTGGTTAAGAGCAGAGGTTCTAGAACCAGACTGTATAGGTGTACATCCTGGCATTACTACTTACTCGATGTGTGACCTTAGATAAGTTAACTTCCCTGGTTCTCAGTTTCCTTATCTACAAATTGAGGATAATCCTAATACCTACCTCTGAGGGTTGTCGGAGGATTAAATGATAATATACACGAAGTGCTTAGAACACAGATGCAAGGCACAATAGTAATTGCTCAATAAACACCAGCTAAAAAGTTTTACTTTATTAAGGTACTGAGCTCTTAGGGGAGAGTTTGGGCCATTTCTCTCTACAATACAATATGGCCACAGGCTGCAGTGTTTTTTGAGTTCCTATATAAATTTTGTTTTATTTATAGATTTTGTTTTCTATATAAATTTTTAATTGTTTCTCTGTTTCTTACTTCAATGTTATTTGTCAACTCATGCCCTTGCAGTACCCCTTCTTCTAATGTGATTCTTCACTCTACTGTAACGATTAGAAATCTGTAGGAAGAGGAATCCCTGGTGAAAGCCTCAGCGGCTTTCCCAAGAAGAAGGTACATGAGTATTAACACAGGATTCAGGAACATCTATCTCCACTTAGAGGTCTTTCTGGCTTACTTATTGTATTCTCAGCTGTGTCTGGGAAAATGGGAAATACCAAATAAGTGACCTATGGATTAATGAGCGACTATTGTTCTAATTCTGTCAAGCATTAGATCAATCAAAAACAAACGAAAGGTTGGTTTTTTAATGTTTTGCACTGTTAATTTTCTACAATTATTAATCAGCTACCAATGTAATTACTAAGCTTTCAATCCAAACAACGTTTTCAGTGTAATAGCTGAACCAATATACAGATCTCACATTACAAGGCCCAATTTCTAAAACTTGGGTATTACTAATTGGGCTAGTATACAAAGCTCAAGCAAAACAAAATGTTTCTGTGTGATTGAATCCATAGCTCTGATGTGGAGGTTACCAATTTAATGAAAGGGAGAAAATATGAATCATCAAAATGGCTAAAAGAAGTAAGAATTAATGGATAAACTAGAGAGAGAATGGAATATAGGGATTATGAACTCTCGGAAAATTTGTAAGGAAATTTGGAAGAAAAATAAGTCAAAAGATTACAGACTAATAAAGAGAAATAAAGACTAATTTATCAACTTTACTCCAAAACCCTAAGTGAATAATATGCTTCCAATTCAATATTCAGTCTAGTAGCATCTCTACCTTTTTCCCCCACTGGAACGGCACAAGAGAGACTTTGATAAGATAACCGTGAGCATCAGTGATGATCAAACCTTCTGTTCAAGTGGCCAGATGCCAGAAGAGGCACAATGAACCCCCACCCTCGGGATATCTGAGGGATATCTGAGCCAGAAACTGGCAGCCACCAGGCCAAAATTTTTATATTCATGTACCTTAAAAATTCATGTATATTTTGCATTCTATTCTGTTACATACCGATGTGTTTTTAATATAAAAATAATGTTTACAACAATTGAATTATTTAACTCCTCCCATTCCCAAATCTTCAAGTAAAACTGATCCTCCAGGAAGATTTCCATTGTGGTTCTTATGTCTTCCCCTTGAACAACACTAATATGGTCAGAGGTATGTGAGAAGTATGGTTAAAAATGATATCTTATTATACTATGATGAGCTCCAAAGTCTCAAATAATCCACAATAAATCAGTAATCCAATAAGCATTAAATAAAGATTCTAATTCTCATGCAACTCAGTGAAGCTAAGAAATCCAAAAGAATGGGCAGCTGGGTCCTGCAATCTTAAAATGTCCTCTTAGCTTTTGAGCTACAGTTCTTATAAAAAGATCAATAATGATGCCTTCCTGCTCCAATATGGAATTAGTGTTTCCCTAAATACATTAACTTCAGAAGTATTGAATTACCCAGGAGGATCAGCACCAATGAAACAAACAGTTGTTCTTTGCAAACTAGTAACTACCAAAACAGAGAGCCCACTGAAGGATGCCTGATTGAAAATGACAAAAGGCAAAGACACCAGGACAAAAAGTAACAAAGTATGGTGACCAAAAATCCAGAAAGATGACACTCACCCTCATCCTGATAATCTGATGTGAGAGAAGGGCCATGAGTTCCACTGTGATTATCATCGGAGCTGTCCTGTCCAAGGTAATTTTCAGCTTGGTCTCCCCCTGAGGCACAAAAAAGAAAGAAAATAAGGTTATACTTTGGATATTTTTACAAAGGTCTGCAGATTTCTTCTGGTATTCACAAAAGAAAAGATATATTTTTTACTTGATGGACAGGGCCCCTATCCATTAACATAGGAGAAACAGATAAATAAGTTCAAGAACCAACTTACCTGGATGGGAAATTTTCCACTCAACTAACTCTCTAACTAGAATTCAGAAACTGTTAGCTTAGAGTTGGGAGACCTCTGCCACCGGAGAGAAACTTCTCCATCACACTTAAAATGAAAACAGCTATATAAATATGTTTTCATACATACTACATCTCCATTAATTACAACCTTTACCCTGAATGCCTCTTTCTCTTTATATTTAGAATGAAATAGAATAAATTACACAAAGGGTTAACCTTTTATACAAAACAGAATGTAGCAAGGTCAATATTCTTTTCGTCTCTGAAAAATAGAAGGAGTAAAAATAGAGAGAACATAGACTTTGCTGGATTTCTATTCCGATTTAAATCACTACTTGTTTTGCAATCATAAGAAAGTTTTCTCTTTATAATTCTAGTTTACAGCCTATGCAACCAACCTCTTAGGAATTCTAAAAGCCCTAAGAAGGTAATATTTGTTCTGTAAAATGGCTCTGATGAAAGGTAATGCATATACAATAGTGAATTATGCAATTAAAACAATGCTAATCTCTTTTGGGTGTTTTCAACATACATTGGATGATATTTAGTAGAAGTGGCCCAGCTATTATGACACTTTAAAAGGTTCAGATAGAAGATGTTAGCTCATTCAGAAACGGAAGAAAAGGCTCTGCATTGTTTACAATGGCTTTCCTTAAAATCCCCCAAACAGAGGTACAGTCTGCTGATAAAAGGACACCAACAGCTGCTCAGTTCATTTAACAAACATGAAAAGGGGATTTTCAACTGAATTTAATATTATCTGAAATACTAATTTCCAAAGGAAATCGCCAATGCTAATCTCAGTAAACACTGTAGAGTTTTGGCCCTGGATTTCAACGAGGGAGCAGTGAAACCAAACAATCTACATAGAATCTGTATTGCCTCACTTTAAAGGTTTATTTCCTACAATTAGACTAGAAGGATAGGGAGGATATAAAATGATAAAACGAGAATGCCTGTAGCCTTCTCTTTCCATAAATTAGATGATCATATCTAGACTCTTCTACGAACGTTGAATGGTAGGTAGATGTACATAACTGAGCTGCACACCTGCAGATACAGGACTTCAGAAATAAACTGTGTAGTTTATTGTGGAGAAGAAAAGTAAAACTAAAAAAAAAAAAAACCTCACACCTCACACAACAGTCATTGGCCGGAGCCAAAGAAATGTTCTCTTTTATTAGGTTACTGATCAGGCTACAAGTTATGCTTAGAGTATCACTGTGAAATTTCCATTATAACTGGAAAAATTCTCAAATCCTGGACTGAAGGTTAAAGTACTCAAATTTTACATCACTGCAAATCGACTGAAATTATATGATCAACACGATCTAAATGGACTGCCTGGCAGGTGACCTGAGAGTGAGCTGTGAGGTTAAAGGAATTTTTATATTTTGAGCCAAACCAAAATCCATTTTTAAAAAAGACATAGGTTTGGTTTGCCAAGCAAAATTTAACATTTGTAGGATTTATAGAACATTATTTATCAACTGTCACCCTAGAGTCAAAGTTTTCTGCTTGCTTCAGAAATTTTACAAATCTACTCTTACATATTCTAGCACTCCAGGTTTTGTTTTTTTTTTTTTAAATAAGCAGATCAAGGGGGCTTTGTTTTGTTGTTTTTTAATGAACTTTTTATTTTGGAATAATTTTAGATTTATTATAAGTATTGCAAAGACAGCACAGAAAGTTCCTGTACATCCTTCATCCAGTTTGCCCCAATGTCAACTTCTTACATAACTAGGGCTTATCTGTCAAAATTGAGAAATTAACACTGGTATGTTGCTATTAACTAAACTACAGATTTTATTTGGATTTCACCAGTTTTTCCACTCACGTCCTTTTTCTGTTTCAGGATCCAATCCAATTGCATTTAGAGCTCCCATTTTTGAAGGCTCATCCAAAACACCTGCCTGGATTTGGCATTTGATAGACTAATTTCAGACGGAAAAGTCACTTGCACGTGATTCCTACGGCTTCTGAACACAGTTACCCAAGGTGGGCTATTAACAGCCACCCCTGTGACAAATACAAGACCGTGCCTCCATAAAGTAGACGACAATAAAGGTATACAACTTGAGGCAGCAACAGCAGAGCCTAGGTCAGTACTAAAGGTGGTTGCGGTGGGGGAAACATTTAAAAATATGTTTACATCCAAGCATAATTAGTTCCTGATGATGGAAATGTTGCTATTAAGTGTTTTTAGTGTCATATCAAGCAACCCAACTCCCTTGGGCACACACAGAAAAAGGCATATAACATTATATAAATAGACACTCCAACGTAATTAAAATGATTACAACTACTCAAGATGCATGGGTGAAAAGTTTTATAGAAGAACCAGCAATTACTATGGTCATTTTGGATTTGTTTAAGTTTAGAACATCATTTTTCCTTAAAACATAACTGCAAGTGATCTCCAGATTCATGTACAGCTCTGACAATCACAGTTCCATGTGGCCACTACCGTAGTCCAGTGGGATCAGACATAAATGATCACAAACTATAGTGACAGACATTTCTACTCAGCAGCTCTACAATTAGGGCTCAGAACTCCATCTGCTTAGAGTGGCTTTCTCACAGGCAAGACCCCTTGCCACTAGAGACACACTTTCCCATTGTAACTCGCTCAGAATCAATATATTTCTATACAGATGTATATTCTAACACACTATATCTCCATTAATCACATCCACTACCTCCAGTTCCTTCTCTTTGTATTTCTAAAGATCTGGAGGAACTATACCAAGGGTTCACCTGCTATTAGCTGGTAATTTGCTCCTCTATCCTAAGTGTCATAAGAATTGGACGCTAGATACACTCCTTAGTATATTCAATGGCAGGTTCTCCACCGAGGGGCCTATAAGGGGGATGATTTCTCTATTCTTCTTTCCTGAGAGTCAAACTGAATTTTCTTCATGCACCATAGAATGATAAGGTGGGAATCTCTGAGGGTTGGAGCAGAAAGATAAAGCAGCTTTGTGTCAGGTGTAAGGTAATTATTTGCTAGGGTTTCTGTGCTATTTGTTTTTATTCCCTGTGTTTTCATTAACAGTTAATGAGTTTTCCCCCTTAATTCTGAAACAATAGCTGGGCCACTAGAAGTTGGCTTTTCTGCCATGGAGCCAACCAGCTGTTGCTGCTCCATAAACTTTATGGAGAAGTGAATTAAACTGCTAAAAACTTTCATTTCCTAGTTCAATTCCAAATAAAACAGGGGGAAAAACAAACCATGATGATGTTCTCCTTGTAATTATTTTGACTCACAGCAAACCCATCTAATGCTGAACTTGCAGGTACTATTTAGGGACAAAAAACAGGCCATAGTGACAATTTTACCAAAGAAATGAAAAAAGACAGAAAACAGTTTAAGCAAAAAAAAAAAAAATGAGAATAACAACAGATAAAACATATAAATACATATTTGCTTATTCAATATATAAAGGCTCAATGGCTTTTTTCAATGTTAGTATAAAGTTATCATCTTTTACTTCTCTTCTAATTAATTGAGAGCTATATTATAAAGACTTAATTCACATCTGCAACCAACTGTTTATATGGCGTGGTTCAAAACTTTCTAGGGCTTCCTATTACTTCACCAAGTGTCTTTGGAGAATATAAGGAAATTGAAATTAATGTAAAATTGTCTGCGATTTCTTGGTTTTGTTTTTATTGTTGCCATTGGAAGGGAACACACAACTTCCAACTCTATTTAATATTTGAAAACCCATGAGACGCACAGCTCCTTCTTTAAACTAATAAATCCTAAATAAAATGCTAAGAATAAAGGTCCCTGATCCAAATCCAGTTAGTTTTCATGCTTGATAGCATTAATATTGCCAGATTTTCATGGACCAATTTAATAGTGATCCAGTTCCCAAAGCTGAACTAAGGTGAGATTAGCAAAACTGCAGCTTATTATTCCTTATTACAACCATTCACCTAAGTTATTGAATATAACACCAGCTAAAGAAATATGTTGGGTACATATGTGCCCATATATGTGAAATGTTACTCACATGTAAATATATTATGGAGCACATTTGCAACGCCAAAGCTGAAGTTCTGTCAACACTTCCATTATAAATTACACACCATTTTGCACATACTCATGCATTAGAAAATGCATGGTGTTTCCCACAGAACATCTTAGAGGCTTCACTGATTTCTAAATATCCATTTGGATTTGCGTGGTTAGTTCTTGTGATTAATCCATGTGTAGTGAAGGTCTCAAATTCTTCTCTGTTCTATCCAGTCTGACTTCCTGCCCATCTCTTTTTTTTTTCTTCCTACATCTAGCCATAACTCAATGTATAAATATTCTTTTTCCCCTCCAAGGCCCTGGCAGTGAGTGTAATAGCACGGAATGTCATTAAGTCTACAGAACAAATGATGGGCCAGGTAAAGAAAGTTTCCATTTATCATTCTTTTAAAAAGTTGCTCCAACTAGATCTTGAATGCACAAGAAATAAATTGATCTTAAGACTAACTTTTTTAGCTTAGGATACTGTTTACTAATCATATAATCATGCTAAGCATAACATACTTCTTAAGAACCTTTTGGGATATCATTTGCAGAGAGTAGCACAGTCTAAATGATCAGAAATGGAATCAAACTGATTAGATGCTTATAGCACAATCACTACAACATCTGTGAATCCAACAGCCAAAAGAGCAGCATGGCTTGGTAACATTTCCAAAATGAACTACATCTGTCACTGGTGGGTTGGCGAGGAAGATGCCTGTGGGAGCCAACTGAAAAGTTCTTTTTTTCCCCCTCCAAGTCTTTTATGATGCAGTTTTTCATTTT